GATTGATCTGGTTAACAATAAAGAAGCAAATAAAGAAACTATTTCTTTGGCAAACTGAACGTTTGCCATAGAAATAACAATAGTGTAGCGAGACTTGCATCGCTGATTCTATATGAATGAGGTTATCGAATGAGAAAATTACCTTTGCTCACGAGAGAACGTAAATCATTTTGAACCTAGTCAAGACGGTAAAGTAAAGATTGAGAAAATCCAGCCATTACGCTTTTATGTTCTCTTGTAAAGATAAACCCTGGCAAAAGAAACCAGATATTTAATTCAGTGATAAAATGAGCCGTTCATGTTTCCAGTATTACTTGAATAGTAGATTAATGAATGTGCAAGTTGGATTCTGACAAGTAGAGTTGTCTGTCACGACACACACAACTAACTTTCATAGCAGTTAACTTAACAATTGATTCAATATAATCATATATTCACTCTACTTCAGGTCAATGGAAAACGTGAGCCCATGAAGGAGTAAAGTGTTGTTTTCCTGGAGGTTGGCATTATCCATGCTAATGGGAAATAGAAAAGGCTCCCTATCGTAAGTAAATGAGAACAGTTTTGTTTTAAAATTTACTAGGCATTGCTTGTTCCTGTCAACCACTGAGTGCAGATCTTTTTCGAAAGCTGCCTGTGGGAGTAAATGGTCGGGCTGTCAGCATAAATACCTATTTGGGAACTGATCATATCGAGAAGACGGTTGACGGATAAAAAATTTAAATGTAAGCTAATTCCCAGATTTAATATTTAATTAGTATCGTACCGACAAACAATGAGATTATGATTGCGGAACAACCAGAACGATTCTCTCCCTCGAAAGGAATTCAGGTAACACAAAAAGCACCATGTTGACTACAATATTTACCTTCTTTTAATCATTTCATCCCGAAGCAGGGCAATAATTCCACTAAGATACGAGGCGGTGGATATCGAGTGTCAGAGAATATGAGAAAAAGAAAACATTATTAAGGAGAGAGAACTTTTAAAGAATAGGAATTAAGAAAACGGAAGATAGCGATGACATTACATTTAGATTGAAGATCAAATTTGACTGGAAATCAAGAAGCCGGAAGAGAGTTCAACAAGTGAGAAGAGTGAGAGAATAAACTGTTATCATAGAAACATCTACCCATATCAGCTGTAAAATTATGAGATATTGCTGACAATCTAATAATGTGATTAAATTAATGTCTAGTACGAAAAAGAAAAGTTCTTCAGAATAAGTACTGTGAAGACATTTACAGCAAAGTCACAGCGAAAGAACGTTACGGTGGTGGGTAAAACACTGAAGCCGAAATGCCATGTCAAGACCGATAATATTGCGTATGATCTGGAATTGGATTGAAAGAAGTGATGGCATGTATCCTCAATCTATCATAAAAATTCAGGATGGGATTTAGTAAATATTAAACTTTTCAGATGTCTCGGTGTATAAATCAAATATCACATATTTAGTATAGGAAATAGAGAAATACAACATAATGGGGGCGCTGTTTTGAGTAGTTTCATACAATACTTCAAATTGCTACAAAACCAAAACATTAAACTAAAGATTCGAGTTCTGTACATAAACAACCACGTCAGATTGAGACGCCCCTGTGGATGTTATGCATGGTGTCAAATCCATTCATAAATATCTAGATTGTAAGCCTTATACAACCGCTCTCTCAAATCAATGATTAACAATGGCTTTGAATAAATGTAACCTGTAGATTTCTGTTAGGACCATCCTTCTTCGATCACCATAGACTGGCGCTAGAGAATCACAAGTAAAGAGTTGTATCAAATAACACAATCGACATAACTTGTGGACTTTCGATAACAGCAAAATCTAAAATGTATATCAATTGTAACTCGAAGAGTAGATAATGACATAATCAAGATGTTGCTTTTCCACGCTACTTGGAACAAAGGGTTAGGAAGTAAATATCCATCAATACCGGAAAGAGCGATAAAAAGGACTCAACTTGAGAAACGCATTTTCCCGAAAGGTTACTTTAAGAGAAAGACTCTACAAATTTCGACTGACAGTGAAAGTGACTGCTTGGTCAATGGATGCCAAATATTTCCTTATAAGGAAACGGTTAAGATTAAGATTACAATTAGGCAAGCGAGCAAGTAACCGAGAATGACATAAGACAACGTGGTATAGTTGACCATCAGTTTCGAAGCCTGTAGATGTTTTTAAAATCTTTAATTTCTATCTCATGGAAAGCACTCTTCTGTTTCGAAGTCGCGATAATTTTGCTACATCACCTGACTCAACGTCTATTGGCGGTATTGGAGGCAGTTATCATTTAAGAGCAGTCTACCACCATCCCAATTTTGTACCCAGTTTGAAAATTTTATTTCTGTTAGGTAAGGCAAAAGTAGGCGTTTTAACAGAGGATGTCGTTTTACACAAAAGCGAATGACTAGTTTGTTTTTATCGGTTCAACCATTTCTGGGTTATTTAAAGCCGAAACGTATTTAGGATTTGAGTTATTCTTTTAAAAAAAAAAAAACAATGATTTTTTTTATAGATGCAAGTCTCACTATATGACCCATAGCTGCAGGGTGTGCATTTCCAATGTTATTTTCGAATAATATAAGGAACCCGATTTCTCATTCTAAGACGTTAGCCATCACATCACCAGCACATTCATTGACACATGCCTAAAATTTATGATACATATGATTTGAAAAGTAACATTTTTTTCTATACAATTCGAGAAACGGAAATTACAAACTGAAATCTCAGAAATCCTTACCCTTGTTTGTATAAATAGCAAGAGCAACACTTGTAGATATCGCATATTTCAAAACAAAGAAGGAATTAGTAATCTATTGTACAATATTGAAATCAACCATCAGCAAGACTTTTTAAAGGTTCAACTCATCCTTCATTATACTCACCAATTTAAACTGTACACTTGATTTCCATCTAATACAAGACATGAAATCCACTTGCTGTCGAATATTACAGTTGGTATAACAATGATGAATGATGTGTCTGACATGAATGAAAGAGAAAGTTATATGAAGTTAAGATTATCATGACAAGGAAGAAATGTATGGATTGATCATTGGCTTAATGATGGCAGGATTAAAGTCCTCGGGGAATTAACCAGACCTGAGTATCTTTCATAATGTATCAGTTTTTAGAAAATCTGTCGGATCGAAACTTTTTCCTTAGATTAGAACACAGAAGGAATTATTACTCTATTTTCTAAAATAGAATTCGGATGCCCATTATGATTTTTTTAAATACGTCCTCGTTAAAATTGAAAATGGAAGAAAATTAGATGTATACACGTCATTTGAGAAACTTTTATTTCCGGAAAGTGAAACATACTGTACAAACATAAAAAGATGCGTAACTGGTATGAAGATAATGCTATAGCTGAGGGTACTGTTGGTAACTGACTTTCTAAGTTCAGAAGTGGACATTTTTATCTAGAAGACCGGGGGCGTGGTAGCGGGTGTTAATAACGACCAAATCGACAGTGGCTATCGCAGAGGTACATCACGTATCCTACACTTGGATACATGCATTTTAATGATGTTTATGTGCGTCACGATTAAATGATTACATATAGAATGCATTTTTATCTGCGAATCTGTGCTGAAACGTAATAAAAAACTAACTATTTTTTGAAAATAGTGATCATAGGTGATGTCAAATAGATTTTTCAACATTGTGGAATCCAAAATTTCTTGTGTAAAAAAACAAAAAAACAAAAAAAACGAAATGAACTACCGTTAACCACTAAAAAAGTAAGATTTGTAAATACGTGAAAAATCTTAACAACCCAAATAGTTTCAGCTTTTGTTCATATTTTTTTAATCATTTTACCTCAAACAAAGCGATAATACCATTAAAACGCAAGTGATCTACTGTGAGCGAAAGAGAATGAGAAAAAGAAGAAAGATTGTAAAACCCAATCCTAAAACAGGAATTAAAAAAAAAAACAGACAATAACATTATGTGTCGTGTCCTTTCAATTCGTAGGCGCCCACTGCCGTCAACTTCACTCTATCCCTTGTGCCTCTCAACAAGTTTTGTGCTTCTGCCAACTCCCCCAGACCACGCTCCGCCATCCACCTGCCACATATGTCATGAGCTGCTTTCCCTTGTCTCATATTCCCTCTATTCGTCCCGTGAGTATCAGATTCATAAGGCCATCCTTTCTCATCGTGTCCCGGAAATTTCATCTGCCCGCCCCCTTATGTTAAGCATAAGCTTCCTCCTTGTTTGCATCTTCTCCATAACCTCACCGTTGCTCACATGATCGGTTAATTATCTCCTCAGCATCCTGCTGTAGAAAAAAATTGTTTTTTTTAATTACCCTACTAACTTATATAATTAATGTACAAAAATTATTTTTTTATCAAAAATCTTTTTTTAGACAGTTTTGACATTTGTTCTTATACTCCTAAAATAAATATTAGAAGTTGAAAATGATGAATTTCCTAATAAAGAACCTGGAGAAATATGTATTTTTAAATAGGAAGAAATTGTTCAACTGACATTTAATCGTAAATAATTAATTTAAACTCTTTCTTCAATATTGAAATAAAATGAATTTCATTTGAAAGTTAATTTAGTTTATTCTTTCTTAAAAAAGTATTTTTTAATAAATACATATTTGAAATGTTATTTTAAATTGTTTTCCATAAAATAACTGAATTAAAAGGAATTGTTTTTCAAACTAAAATAAAATATTTAAGAAAATATTTTTTTCTATCTTTCGAATATTAAATTTAATTTATTTCAAATTATGCTAAAAATTGCAGATTTAAAAATAATTAACTGAATTATAATTATTAAATCAAAAATGACTTTCTAGAAAAATTTAGCATATGGTGATTGTCATTAATTTCGGAAAATATGAAAAAAAGCTTAACACATTCGCTGAAAAAAAAATCATTACTTTTATATTATAGTGTCGTTTATTTTTGCTGCGAAAACGCAAGATTTCAACTTTATTTTATTCTTGCTTCTTCAAAAATATATATAATTTTTACTCTAAACACTAAACTATTATATGTCCTTTTTTTATAAAAAAAAACAAAACAAAAAAAAAACGCTATATCTTCAGATTTAAAGTGTACTTTCTAGGGTTATAACGTTTTATATATTGAAAGAACTAGCTAAGTATAGTTTTACAGTCTTAATATCCTATTCATATGATCAGCCGTCATTAAACATTTCAGGATTGACAAATAAGATTATGATAAAATTATATATTATTATTATATATTATATTATATAATATTATATAATATTATATTATATTATTATATATTATATATATTTATATATATATATATATATATATATTTATATATATATATATATATATATATATATTATGATAAATAAAATTACGAAAAATATAATTTTAAAACATATGTACGTCACAATAATGATGTGCTATCAATGCCTTAGCGTCACGTAAGCTGCGAATTGTTTGAAGAAAACCCCATGTGTCTACAATATTCACACGTTATTATCTCTCAAAAATTGTATCAATTAAATAAATAGTAATCACGTGACAATTAATAAAGAATGTAATGCGTAATTTGATGGGACTTTAAGCACAGCCAATATGTAAGCGATATCTAACATGATAAAATAGTTTTTTTTTTACATGCACAAAGGTAGCTGGCGGTTGGGCGCGGGAACTAAACACAAAACATAAGAATAAATCAAATAATGTATTTATTTTTTACGGAGCATTAGTTTTTAAAATGACTATAATAATATAAAATATGTATTAATTTTAAAATAAAAAAATAGGATAACATGTAAAAATGTTCGATTTATAAGAGGATCAGTTGGAAAACATAATCAGGTTTCTTTAAATTTTACTATATGTTTAAGCTTCACTGATTATAACATCTGACTGAGACCCCTAAACACATAGACTTTTGTCTGCCCTATTTCTTTAATAGTTTAACGAAACTGTTCACATATAATCAGATTTCCGTGACAAAAAACACAATTATTTTTAAGATATATACTTACAGATTTTGAAATTTTAACATTACAATTGACATCAAAAATAAAATGAGAGTTAGAGACAGCAATTATCATTTTGCTTTTTGAAAGAGTGGACAATTATAGTGACATAAAAATTATATATATATATATATATTGATTTATCAAGTGAAGTTGCCAATATTCTATTGATAGGCCAACATACAGTGTAACTGTTACGTTGATATCTGTCTATCCCTGATTTTCTCTCTCTCTCTCTCTCTCTCTCTCTTTCTCTCCCTCTCATCCTTTCTCTCTATATATACATATACTAATATGCATATCTATCTATATCTATTTATATACACTAATATATAAATATATACATATATAGACATGTATAAGATTTATAATATATATACAGACATGTATATATATATATATATATATATATATATATATATATATATATATATATATATATATATATATATATATATATATATATAACAAAATATTATAAGATAATATTTTGCTCTACTGTTTTCTATCGAACACTGTTTTTCTTTAAATAAAAATAACTGCTAAGAAGACCGAATTATAGTACTTTTTTTATTATATATATATATATATATATATATAGGTAAGAATATATTTTTAGTTAAAAACCAGGAAATACTTTTGTTTTTGTTATATTTAACATCATCTCTCGGACCATCTGTCCGGTTACCGAGGAAAATTTGAATATTCATTATCTTATTGATTAACTTATTTGTAATTTCGTCTTTCATAAGACATAAAATAATAAATTTATTTATGAATAACTTTGGTCTTTTTTATGTTGTACATGTTCTTTTGGATTTTTCAACAGTACCATTTGATTTTTGTTTTACAAGCATTGTCTCTTCAGAAGCCATTTGTTTTGTGGCCTGTTTTGTTTTTTTGTTTTTTTTTATGAAGTGTATTATTTTTTATTCCTAATTGCCAGAGTAGAATTTGGAATCGCTCAGACGAATTCAAATTCTATATTCGTCTGTTCCGTTCAAATTTACACCAATATATGAACTCCATTCTTCTCATCAGAATTATGGTTCAATTGGCAAGGTAGTCAACGCTATAAACCAGGGTGAGAAGCAGTTGAAAAGTATGAAACTCTGAAGTCAAAACCAAATGAAAAAATATTTTTAAATCATTTCACTCCAAGAAAGGTAATAATGCTACTAAGACGCCATCAGTCACCGAGATTTAATGAGACTTTAGAAAGAAGCAAGGACATTTTAAAGAACTGGTAGATTGAAGTAAACTAAATGAATCTGTAGAGACTCATGAACGTCTAAGTCCTGAAAAAAATATCAGTAAAAAAAGTCGTTAAAAACAGCCGAAGATGGTGTATGCCTAATGCTGATATGGAGTTAATTTTGCAGAAATTTTGTATAAGTGAAAAGAAAAATTCATAGCAAATAAGAAAAAAAGTTGAAATTACCTTTTCAGCGGACAAAAGTCCAGTGATTATGATACGAGTAATGTGAACGTGACTGAAACATCAAATATCTTACGCGTTACAAAATTGCTATGTCACGGTTGATTAATTAAATATCATGCGACTTAATATTTAACTGCCATCTATGTGTGACGGTTACACACCTGGCCCAGGGTCGAATCCCTTGGTTACGGCGCCAACTGTGACGTCGTTCCTCCTGGTCGCTCCTCCTGGTTCCAAGCGTGCCGCTCCAACCCCTTGGTTAGATGATCACCAGCCTCGCCTTTCCCAACTCGCTTCCAATACCTGGTTACTGAAGCAACTGTACTGATCTCCGGTCTGTCTACCCACGCTGTGTTTAGATATTAGACAGACGGGACCAGCAGGATTGGGACCGATACAAGTTGAGTCCGACGGGGGTGGCAAAACACAAGTAAAAGAAAAAAAACTCACGAGACAAAAAATTACTGATAAAAAAAAAGGGTAACCTTTTATATCTAATGTCCGTTACATAAAAACAAAAATTGTTCTCAATTCCCGACCCGCTCTGTGGACTATGGCACCAAGCTTCTATCACACAACCTAAAGGATTTCGAATTGCCTACTCTTTTTAGAATGGTGTATGTCGGAGTGTGGTTTAGCTCGACACTGGGGCTAATTTCTATCGATCATTCGCAGTTGATTCTTCTTCTTCGTCGACTTAGATAGAACTTCTCTTGTCTTCGACTTGGGCTGGATCTTCTCTGCGGCTTTCGAGTAATCTTCTTCTTCGTCTACTTGGATAGAACTTCTCTTGTCTTCGACTTGGGTGGAAAGATTCTCTTGTCTTCGACTTGGGTGGAAAGGATTTCTTGCCGCAACTCAGCCGCTCCTCTCAACTCAACTGATTTCTGTCGACTGGGGTCCTGCTTTTTATTGACGCCGCAACAAACTGGGGTTCAGGTCTGTCGGCGTCAGGGGTTTCTTTTATTGACGATAATTCCAAAATTCCAAAGTCGCATTATTTTTGACTTCCCATTATCGCTATTGTTTTCACCTCTACTTCCTCACAGTGCCTTTGGTGGGGAGGCGCACACCCACACCCATCTCCCTTATCGTCTCTCGTATGTCAGGTGACCGTTTTCGACCAATGGTTCCTGATCGGGCATTTCTTTCTCTTCTTTTCTGCAGATCACGTGACCGTTTCCGACCAATTGTTATTGATCGAGCATCCTTTCTCCTCCTTTCGGGCGTGGTTACATCGTTCTTGTTTTTTAAAAAAACAAAATCCAATTTTGCCCTTTTCTGCACGTACGAAAAATGACAATCTTGGCTTTTTCTCACCTGGGCTCTGTCAAACAGCCCGCCGCTAATTAGATGTGACTTCAGGGAAGAATATTGGCGCTATCTGTGAACTGAGACAATCGTCCCCTCACCTCCCGTCCTTGTCAGACCCGACAGTCAGAAAATCTTAATTATCTACATTGAAAATGTTCCCACTTTATTATCGTAGGTTTCAATTCTTAATAGGTCAGGATCTGTATATAGTTCCACCGGTCACTCCCCTCAACCCAAAAACACTTTTTCTCTGATTAAAATTTCGTTCTCATTGTTCTTAAAATTTCCCTTTACTCCAAATTGATAATGAGTCTTTTGTACGCAAAAGTCGGTCATGTGCTTTTGACCGATTTTTTTTATTATCAATACACTCTTATCAAGCATTGTCCTTCCACTCTCTAAATGACTTTCCTTCTAAATAACAAATCCCATTGTTCTTTCGAAAATCGGCCAAGATGTTGGCCTAATTACCTTTCTGATACGTGTTTTTGTTAATGACCGCTTTTTGTATTTCTCGACCTCTCTCTTTTGCTTTTTTTCTTTCTTCGTCGACTTCTCTTTTTCTTTTCTTTCCTCTTCTTCCCTTAGGATCGTCTAAGTACAATCTTAGTGAATTATTTTCAACTCAATTATTTTCCGTTTTAAAAAAAATCAACAACCTGTTTAGTAAACCGAGTAAGAAAAAATTAAATCATATTTCTATGAATATTTCTAATAATGCAAGGTGCCACATATGTATGTGAGTTTATGTGTCTTGGCTGGGGAGCGCATGTGCATATGTACATGCTAAGGTAGTTGCGTGCATTTGTGTATATGCAAGCCTATTGTAAAGATTGCCTTACATCTTGAGAAATATTTTTTAAGGAAATTGAACGCAACTGTATACATAGAAATAAATACATTAAAATTGTCGTAAATCTTACTTCTGAAGTTACAAAATTGCTATGTAGAAATTGTCAAGATTGATTAACTAAATATCATGTTTCTGAAGTATTTAACTGCCATCTATGTATGTGTGTTTATGTAGCAGGAGTATCCGCATGTGCGTATATACAAGTCGGGCGGGTGCGTGCTTTTGTATATATTATCCAATTTTTCTTTATATACTCCGCTCGTTCGACAACGAAAAAAGTTTGCGCTGTTGAAGTCGATGAAACCTTCTCAATAACAATACACCCATACGGCTCCCTTTCAACCCACTTGTCTCTATCTCTTTGCATTGTGCGGTGTAGCCTTTATATCAGTAAGGCCAGCTATATATATATATATATATATATATATATATATATATATATATATTTAAATTGTAAAAAAAACATTTAAAACTTTTTTAGGGCGGGTTACTCAACCAATTGTAACATCAGAAATGGGGATACCTAAAGAAACATTATTTTGTTTAACCCGCAACCATTAATTTGGAGATGATTACCAATATTAATAAAATCTTCTTAACACATTTGAGACAATACCTCGCAGAGAATTCCCTGTTACATAAAATCTTCGATAGAAATACTGTAAATGTATGTTACAGTTGTACAAGCAGCATGGAAAAATAATTAAAGAACAGGAAAAAATTACATATGAGTGAGTAAAGTAAATATAAAAACAGCCGAGAAAACGTCAATTGCCGGGATAGAAGTTATTGTAATTTTAAACGGCAAGATAAACGCTGTTGTTTATAAGGCTCCTGTAGAGCATGCAAATGACCAGGTATGTGCAAAGTGTGTTAAAAAAAATTGTCTATCATGATGTACCCTGATTAGCACAACCTCCTTAATGCTTAAGATAAGAAATTATGGAGGTTTGCCAATACGCAAGAAATTTTCTACAATCAATTTACGATCATGGGTAAGAGAATAAATATTTTTTTTTTAAATTTCATTTTTTATTTTCTTATTTTATTTTAGTTTTCTCTCTCTCTCTTTTCCTTTCCACGTTGGTTCTTTCTTGCTCTCACTTGCCACTACATATACGTATATAAGAATGTTCTTTTTTAAATGAAGCACATAGATTTGCTGCCTGATAACTCCACAATGATTGAATGCGTCGTAGAGTAACGGTCAGTGTTTCAATTATTTCATGTCTTAAACAATATATATATATATATATATATATATATATATATATATATATATATATATATATAGTTTATGCAAACTTAGGTAATCCGTATGGGTAATCCGTATGAAATAGCTTATTACATGGAATCTTAACGTGGTCTGTTTTTTATTCAAATATATATATATATATATATATATATATATATATATATATATATATATATATATATAACTAGCAAATCAAATATTAGTATAGGAAATTTTAGCTTCTATTTCATATTGATTTGGAAGTTCTTGCCAAAATCATATAATTGTGGAATTTCAAGACTTACAAACGAATTAAATTATTTCAGATATGTTTTGTTTTAGGAAATATTGATAAAATGCGTTTTTACATCTGCTTGCACCAACCTTTTTAATTTTATGAAATTTCGCGAAATAAAATTGTGCACCTTTTAAAGTTTATATTAGTTAAAAGCAGAACACCTTAGAGAATTTAAATCTACTTCTTTTTGTAAAACTGTACACCCATATACTGCCAATCTGCTCTGAATCATAAAATAAAACATGCAATGAAGCGAAAACATTATTTAATTAGAAAAGCTTTTAATTGTTTTTATTAATAAAACACATGATGGACATTATTGATTTCAAAAAACTGATTTTCGATTAATAATGAATTATTACAAGAATTATTTCAAATTTTAATTCGATTAATTTATAATGTTTTAAATATTTTATAATTCACTATTAATATAATACATATTTATACATTTATAATCACATATTATTGTTATTAAGTAAAAACTATATTTACTAATCAAAAATGGAAAAGCTTACTACAATTCATTGCTCAGCAATATTTAAAAAATAATTTTTTTATTTCTTTGTGTATTAATGTGCCAAATTTTGTTATTAAGGATGTCCATACACGATATTATCAGAACGCAAAAGCGATAACTACAGTATATTTAAAACCAAAGTAGCTAAAATTCAATAAGACATTAAATTACAGAGAATATTTTCCTATATTACAAAGATTACTGTGTAGTTAAAAATTATATAAAGAAGTCGCTCGCATTAAATTAATCAAATAATTTTTACAGATATGTCCCCCGTACAAAGAATTAGTAAAATTTCCGGTTGTCAGTAAGCTGTAATGCTCTCAATAGATCTTTCAACACCTTAAATAAACCCCTACCACGCAGTTACAAAATGCATTCCTACGATATTTTAAACTTAAAGTAAATAATATTTGTTCCAAACCAGATTATTTAAAATTTAAATACTCAAATAAAATTTCAGAAAAGTATATTTTGTTTGTAAAATATACTTAATAAAAAGAATTACATTGTCATGACGGACTGCTATTTTATCTGTTCAGCAATCTCAAGATAAAAACCTCTTCCAGTCAATTAGTTTTGAAAGAGTTTAGAAATATTAAATTTAATCTATTAGTTTGAAATTAAAACTTAAATAAAAGCTTCAAGAACATTTTTTTTCATTTTAAAAAATAATTTTAAATATTAGTATCGTGTTTCTGTGAACACACACAAACATACATCCATATATCCATACATCCATATATATATATATATATATATATATATATATATATATATATATATAATTAAAACGAAAGATTGTCCATGTATGGTTCTTATAATATGGGGATTTA